GTATTGTGAGTCGTATTATAATTATTGGGCTAACAAATGTGTTTGTTAGTGGTGGTGTGGTGTTTAGTGTTTGAGCAGGTATATCATTACTATTAAGCAAGGCTTGAACAAGAATAAAAGTGGGTGAGCCAGTATCCTTTTTCGAGAATGATGCAAGTGAGAAATCGTGAGTCAGGTGGACAAAATTTAGGCATAGTGTTTACAAAGGACCGAGAGGACTTGAGTTGGGACATGTCTAACATAATTGAATGCCCATATGTTTTGAGCTAATATGGTACCTTGGGATTGATTCCATGGATCGTTTGAGCTAATATGGTACCTTGAGTTGGGATATGTCTAACATAATTGAATGCCCATATGTTTGAGCTAATATGGTACCTTGAGATTGTTTGAGATGCCATAAAGTGATAGGTGTCCGAGGGATAACACACAAAGTGATACGTCATATGGTTTAGAATATGTGATGGTGTTCAACATGTAAGACACAACAATGATGGTTCCTCAAGGTTATATCCTTAAAGAGAACAAGCTCAATGGTAATGAGAGAAAAATGAAGCTAGGTGGGTTTACTCTACCCAAAGCTCAGAGTTTGGTGTCCCATGGAACGAATCCTGATCTTAGTTCTTGAGGGCAAGAGATGTACCTCATGAGAAGGGTAAATTCTATGCAACAAGTTAACTAAGATATGGTTTTAGTGTCGATGAGGACATCGACCAAAGTGAGTGGGGCAGAATGTCGAGGACATATTATTTCTATGAGATTACCCCGACAGTAACCTAATGGTGGGCCGAGTAGTTCCAACTATGAGACAAGGAAAAGCTTGGAGAATGAAGATGGAGGGTCTGTCAAGGTAATGGCCTCAGTTCATACATTCCAACGTGTACTGGTGTCATAGCTGGTAAGTTTCTTTAGCTATTTAGAGGGAAGTGACCTGGTGTTGGGTCTCCACCATCCCCCTTACCTTGAGCTAGCATGTGGAGCTACCATGGTGCAAGCGACCTTCTCCTAGGTTCATGAGGAACCTAGGTATGCGGGCATCGAAACTAAGTGGATGGTACGATGTCTCTCTAGGATGATACCTAGGGACGATTTGGGGCTAGTGGGCCCCATATCGCCCTCTTAGTTGAGGAGTGGGGTTGCCACCTAACATTCGCTATACCCCGCAGGATTTCCCTTCCAAGAGTACTTGTAGCTTTGGAATTATATTATGGCGTGGGACTAATGTGTGGCTTGTTTGTTCGAACAGAATACTATGAGATCAACTAATGAACTGAGGATTGATTCTTAGCCAATGTGACTTGGCTTCCTGACGAGTTAATTCGAGGCATGGATCTATGTTGGGAAAGGCTGACTTGTCTAGGAGTTATCCCATTCAAGTGCCGCACGGCATAACAACAGAGCCGAGACGTTATGTCCGTGACACAAAGCTCATGCTCTGCCTAATTCTACCACTGGGTTGAGGTACATCGAAAGAAATTTACCCAAAACATGAAAGATATGCAGATCTTGACCTTGGATCTAGGTCGGACGTGAGTCTTACACCCAACTAAATACCCCAAAAGGTAACGTTTATAAGAGTTTAAATATCACTTTTTCTTTTTCCCCCTTATTTTCTCTTTTCTTTTATATTTCTCTCTCTCTCTAAGGGATGATTTGCTGTTGTAGGGTTGCGAAAAAAATTATTCCAAATCCCCATTCTCTCTAAAGTTCAGTCTCCCACTATTGTTCATTGCAGGTCATCGTCATTGACTGAGCGCTGCCTCCAATAGTCGATTAGGCTAAAATCACATCAGGATACTCGCCTCGATGTCTAAGTCTAAATCCAGAATAGGATTCACCAAAAAATTCTCCATAGTCTGTAAATCTAAGCCAAAACCATTTAACTTCCTAATCATCGATCTCGTTGCTCCGCTATTAGATTGTCTCGATTTTTAAGTATATTTTTCTCTATTCCAAAGATGGCTTCCTCACCGTCTAGATCGTTCAGCAAGGCCCCAATCACCATACGTCTTCCTTGGCTGGATGATAAGGCTTTTTAGCTCTTTTTTCTAGTTTATTTCTCTCTCACATTTTCCCTATTTTTTCTTACAGATAGTTCTCTCTTTCACCTAGTTACTCTCGTTACCTCTAACTCATCCGTCCTTATTTTTCTTTTGTCTCTTCATCTTTCTTCTGACTTTTGAGTCCTTTTTACAGGTTTGATTTCAATTAATAGTGTGGTAGTCAAGTGATTGCTTAAGAGGTTTTTGGTTTGGGTTGAGATATGAGCATAAAGTAGTTGTGTATCTTGAGATTTAGTGTAGGTGGAGGGTGGCAACTTATGGCAACATAGGAGGTTTGAGGGTGGTGGTGCGTTTAGTGTAGTGTTTTCAATATGAACTACGGAGGCCAATGACATTCACGTAAGTGGCTAGTGATGCATAGGCTACTGGCCATGAGTGAGGGTAAGTTTTGGTCTTGGGGGTTGGTTGTTTATCAGAGGTGATAATGGGGAGGGTCATGGTGAAGAGTACGAGTAGAGAAATGGTTGGGCAGGGTACCACTATTGACGATGGTGGTAATGTGGACCTATGGTCGAGAAGCCATAGTCCCCTGCTTTACTATTTCTTTCTAGCTACTATGTGTTTTTTCAGCTTTCTCTCCGTGCTTTTTTTTAGCTAATCCTCCTGTTGTTAGCCTCCTTTTTCAAGATCAAGATTATCTCCACTTATCAAGCTAAAGATCATCTGAATTAAGATCTCAATTATTTAGGGATCACAATCGAAGTGTAGTTGATAGAGATTTTGAGAGGTTTGGGTTTTGACTAAAAATTAAGGGCATGTGGATAATGGTCAGTTGATTGTGTTAGATATGGGTTTGGACTCAGATATGAATTTGGGCTGACTTGGGTCACTAAGTTTGAGCAAAGGTGTTTGGTTAGATTAGTTTAGGCTGGATGAGTTTTGGGTTTTGTTTGGGTGAAGGCTAGGTTGTGTTGGATCATGTCATCACGCTCTTAATGATTTAAAATAATAGTATCTTAATTAAACTTCAAACTAAAATTCGATGTTTAAATTGAATCTTTTTAAAATTTAACGGTGAAATTGATAAACCTAAAGTTTAGTTCAGTAGGTAAGGCTATAGTTTATATTTTTTTTACAGGATTTATGAAATTTTTATTTAGGAAAACTCAATTAATAATGGAATTGGTAGAACAGAGCTAACCCAAATGTTAATAGAGAATTAATAGCGTATAAAATATATCTATTTACCTATCAATATATATTTCATGATAATTAATTTTCCAATGTCGGTTGCCAAATCTTTGAACAATGAATAAAAAATTGTTTGGTGGTTTGTGGACTGTACCACGCGTAAACCAAAAGGACAATTCTGGCAACCACTTTCGTTCAACAATTCCCACTGAACAAGCCAATTTGCAGGGGGAGGGGAACTATCAATTAGCTGACTGTTTGGTTACGGGAAAAATGATGAAACCCAGATTGGAGTATGAATATACTGACAAAAACTGACCAAAAAAAAAGGGAAACCAAAATCATTCCCATTTGTTAAGTGGTGGTCCAGAAACAAAAAGGCTTCCATTACATGTAGTTTCCCTGCAGTTCAAGTAATAGTATCTTGTATGTTCAATATGTTGATAGCCAAAGACCCACAAGGCCACAACACAAGGCCATTCCCTCGCACAGCTATAAGCTCAAAGCCTACATAGCTATAATGCATTATCTTTTTGCAGAGAGTGTTGACAGTAAGTGTTTGTAATTGCCCTTGGCAAGTTGCAGATAGCTACTGATCATGTATATTCCATATATAGTTTCTTTCTTTGAGTTGACTGTAGTTTCTGATCATCCCTTAGCTATTGTTTTTAGATGATGAAGATAGGATTCCATCACCATTAATGAATTCTATAAACTGGACCTCCATGAAATAAAGAAACCCTATCAATGGCATTATTGGTTTATGAGAATAGGGACCAACCATGACAATACCCCTATTATACAAACTGACAAGTTGCACCAAATGGGGTTTTAGATATTTTACCATAACAATTAATATTAATTGTGGGACTTCCAAATCTGGGTATGGATATACATAGGTATTGCTATGGTAAAATATCTGGAAAAGTTTCAAGCTGCCTTCTAAAAATATTCTTGTCACAGATGAATTCATAGAAAACTGCTTTGGCGGTTAGCAATTGTCTCTCTTTTTTTCTTTTACACATTATACATTATGCATTATACATTTTACATTAATATTATTATATATTTAATAATACGTGACGAAAACACATATATCGATACATTTGACATTTAGTCACTATAATGTTCACCGTGAGTTAATTTTTAGGTCACAAAATATAAATAAAGACATAAATATATGTTTCAGTGATAATATTTTAGATGTCGTAAATAAACAAATTTATTATAGTGTAAAGCTTATATTATTACTTTTCATGTCTTTGCATGAAATAGGTTAATTACGATTGATTTAGATTACATTCATAATTTCACAAGTCTCATACACCTTTCAAAAATAGAATAAACCTAATAGAATAGGTCCTAAACGTGTAATTTATTTATACTAAAGAATTCAAGGATCACTCCATGATTTATCTAATTACAATTAAAATTAAATTCTTAAATGTATTAATCATGGAATGATTCTTGAGTTTTTTAACATTTACTTAATAAATAATTTAATTAATAATGTGTTTCGGTGTATTCCATTAATAGTGTGTTCTCATATGTGACATTAACCGTAGATTCATCCCTAACTAAAATATTTACAGTTTAATAAAAGAAAAGTTTCATTAGAGTAGTAAAGATGTACCGAAGGCCCAAACTGGGCAACAATTTGACTTTTCAAAAAGTCAACCCAGTGGAAATGCATTACCAAGTTCACATAATTGCTGCTTAATTTTAAGTAAAAATACAGACAAAATATCTCCATCTTCCTAGTCAATATATAGACACAGGCCACCTAAGTTTAGAATTGCCCTCATATCTCTTCATCAAAATTCTCTCACGCATCTCACATCACAATCTTTCTTCTTCTTCTTCTTCTCTCTCTCTATATATATGTATATATATATATATATATATAGATATATATATATATTATAAACAATGTTGTCGATGGGTTAATTGTAGATGGAGAAGTGGGATCTGCAAGCAGTAGTAGGAGGAAGCAGCAACAATGACGCCATGGAAAACACACAGTTCAGTTTTGGTCCTTGGAGTTTCCAACAAGATGAAGATCATCTTCTGAGCTTCCCAGAAAATTTTGAAACGAACCCTAAAGTTTTAGATGAGCTGGAGCAACTTTACAAGCCTTTCTACCCTGTTTTGAATCCATATTCAACTCAAACTATCGTTACAACATCCCTACCAGTCCCTCCAGATGTTATTGAACAACCCCAGAAACCAAAAGAGCAGCAATCTTTTCCTGTAAATAAAGATTCACCCAAACCTACAAGATTCAGGTATATATTTAAACGTTGTAAAGATTTTGATAATGGGAAACCCTAAGATTTTTTTTTTAAATTGATCATGTGTCTTTCAGCAGGAAGAATCAGCAAAATAGAGTGGTGCAGCATGTGATAGCAGATGATCTTCCATCCGATGTATGGGCTTGGAGAAAATATGGGCAAAAACCCATCAAAGGGTCACCATTTCCAAGGTAAGAAAAAAAAACTCATATTGTCTCCATTGTTATTGTTTGTTTTGGCAAAAATAGTCAAATGAGATGTTGGAAAATAATTGTCTGGTACATGATGGTAAGAGAAATATTTTGAGATAGAGTGATTGTTACAGTGTCATTAGGAATATGTCGGGAGCACAATGCATTTTTAGAAAGACACGATGATCATAATAAGTCTTTTGCTTTGCTATTTTGTTAGGCTTTACGTTCCAATTGCAAGAAATGAGGACGACACATTCTGTTTCCAGTGTCTTCCTCGACAGTACTATAACAATCACTCAATTTAAAAAAATATTTCCCCTACCATTTTATACGTGCCAATCTTTTTTTTCAACGCCCCATTTGATGGATTTTACCGTTTGTTTTCGTGGGTCAAGCTTTGAAGGGTAGCTTAATTTTTCATTGCTGATTTGGATGAATTAAAAAACAAAATAGGAGCTATTATAGGTGCAGTAGCTCAAAAGGATGTTTGGCAAGGAGGCAAGTTGAGCGTAGCTGTTCGGATCCTAGAGTTTTTATTATAACCTACACAGGTGCCGAGCACTGCCACAGCCACCCTACTCGGCGGAGCTCACTTGCTGGAAGCACTCGCAACAAGTCGTTAATGGCAGCCAAAAGTGTTACTGATTACAAAAATGGAGACCGTGCAGAAACTGGTGTTTCTCCGATGGGCGTTAAAGATGAGAGTGTGGAACAAGGGAGGATAAAAATGGAGGAATGGGATGGAAAAATTCTCAGCCCAGACATAATGTTTAGTGACGATGAATTAGTTCGAAGGTTAAAGAATTTTGATGAAGGTGTATTTTTAGAGAAGTTTCCGGATTTGTGTCATGAACTATGGTGTGACCGTGAATTAATCCAGTCGACCAACATCTTATAGATAATAGTCTTATCATGAATTTAAATTACAGTTACAGCCGTATTTTCGATTACATTGTATTTATTGATTGCGGATATAGCAGATACTATTACAGTGATATAATGCTTAATGACAGTACTTTTACCGTTATATTACGGTCGCTACTATGATAATGAACCTCATTTCCCTGTTACAATAACAAACAACTATTTAAATCCCTGAGCATTAGCATAATATTAATCCACCCCATCTATGGAATTTGCAGTTTTAAGTTTTACTGAAGTTGTGTACATCACTCTGAAATTAAATAAATATATATAGAGATCTATAGAAAATAATTTTCAGAGGAAGTGTATAAAATAAATACAATTTAAATAAAAATTACAGTTAAAATTTATAATTTTAAATTCTATTATCCAATAAAGCAGAAGCCAACTTGCATTTCCCGGAATTCTTATCTTTCTCATGTGCCATCTGACTGTAACGGAAAACGTCAGTCAAATATTCAATATAATATACAGAAAAATATTAAGTACTTATTAGACATTGAGGGTTTTTTATAGGTTAAATGATTATAATATAATATTTATTCAGATTTTTTTAAAAAGTTTATAATTTACATACATTCTACAAGATACAACTTTTCGAATTTGAAATATTTAGAGAGAATAATTATTTTTTATCATTAAGACCGCTTAATAAATTCACATTGAAAGTTTTTTTTTATATACACATAGGATTTTCTTTTTTTTTTAACAATTCTTGCGTAAGGGAGTGGAAGATGAATTTTACTCTAAATAGGTATTGAATTCACAATCTAAGGGAGAAAGAATGTGTCATTTGAGAGCTTTTAACCATATGCTCTTGAGATTGTCGACACTTTGAGATTTTTTTTATATAAATCTAGGGTGAATATATAACGTAATATCTATTCAAAGACTCAATTCTTTAATAATGAAGGCTTATACTCTTACATATGTGGTGTTCGAACTCAAAACTTAAAAAAATAACAATAATTCTCTTAACTATTAAGGTCGCTTAGTTCATACTATTCAAGGTTTTCTGAAATAACGTTTTAGCTTTTATATATATTTATAAAAGCTATGAATGGATCGGCGAGATAAAATAGTCAAGATTCTTTTAAACATCAAGCATATGCAACTATGTTTATATTTGTACAAGTTGGATTGTTTAGTTATATAATATAATTTCTCACAGTTCTAGTTCTTCAGCCTTTGGCTATTCATAATTGAATTCAGCTGGCTTTTACTCGTTGCTTCTGTTTAAGGTTGAACTATTCAAATCAAGATGTGTAGAAAGATTCACCATACACGTTTTATACATTTAAATAATTTAAATTATGTTTTTAATCTTTATACTATATATAAATTATAGATTTAATCGTTGCATGTTAATTTGATATTTTAGTCATATATTCTTCAAATTTTAAAATTTTAATTATAATTCTAACCATCATTAAATACGTTAAATCAAATTATGTTATTAGGACTTATATATATTATTTGCTTGTTACAATTTAGTTTTTATTTTCTAATTTGATCATATTAATTCAGGTAATTTAATCTTATTATTTATATATTATTTAGATTACGATTAAAATTTTAATATTTTTAAAATATATGAACTAAATTAAATAAATTACAATATGAAAACTAATTAATTTATTACTTAAAATAATACAAACATATTACTGATGATAGAATTTGATCCATATATATAAATAGGTTATTATCTACTTACACGGTGTAAAATTCTTTAAATTTTATCCGTTGGATCTAAAAATAGATGATCGAGATTAACTCAATGTCTTTTTTCAATGAATATCTTCTCATTTCTTACTGTTAATCCCACTCATCTATTTTCTCTCATCAGTACTAAATTTATGTAAAATTAAAAGAGTTTTACACAATATAATTATATAATATCCCGTACATACACACACATATATTATCCTTAATATTTTACAACCATGTTAGATTTTTGGTACGACTATGATTCCTTGTTAACTTAAAAAAAACTAGTTAATCCCATGAGTAAAAAATAGTATGCTAAATTGGTATCGATATCGTTCAAAAGTATCGATATTGCTCATGCAGTATTAATACGTATATTTTAGTATCGATAGCAATATCCTAAGTTGGTTAAAATTTCCTAATACTCTAATCATGTATGATTGTATTATGAATTCTTTAATTGCTTACTTTACACTTAAGTCCTAAATTGTAACTAAAAACATGATTAACTATGTGAAATCTCTGGTTTTGTTTATTTTGAGTTGGAATTTATTTCGATCAGCCAATGTGGCATTGTCGATTTAATCTTTGATTAGGTAAGGTTGGAGGTGTTATATTTATTTATATCATAGATTAGGTTTAGTCAATTCCGGGGTGAAACCGAAGCTTGTAATGTGTTTAAAGTTTAAATATGACACCCAGAAATTTATATTTCAGTTTGATTTATTGACTTGCTACTAATGTAATCTGATTTCTCTATATAGCATTGTCGAGATGTCTAGCGACACTAGTAAGTTTAAAGACCTCGAATTATTTAGTGGGATTTTCAAATGTAATCTGCTTGTTCTTCTTCTTCTCCTCCATCATTTGAGAAAATGGAGTTCTCTTTTTCATTTGAATTTTGATCTCTCCTCCTTTTTCCAAATACCATGACTGGAATTGGTAAGATAATTAGAGAATAAGAATAGAATGTTTGTTGATAGAATCAGAAAGGATGTATTTTTTTTCTATGTGAGATGGTTGTAAAAGAAGATCAAAATAGTTTAATATAGTGAAGGCTTATTTATTGATTAGGGATTAAGAAGAGACCTTTCTGCTCCCATTGCATAACATAAGTAAAATGATAGAATCTATTAACTAATGGCTAGAAATGTTCAGACTGCTACCATTGCAAGTTAATTGTTTCTTATTTCCAATGTTAATTCATTGATAGCAGCTTAAATTTACCTTATTCTCGAGGCTAATATATTTATTGTGGTGTTAGAATCTAGATGTTCTTTATCTTCCTCATTATTGATTTTATTTGTTTTTATTGTGTTGCATTTTAGGAATGCCAATTTGATCATTCCAATACGCATTCCTTAACGATTTAGAATGCTAACGAACTGCGAATTTGAACAAATGGATTGAAATGAAATTCGTGGGGGTGGGGAGCAAATGAGTTAACACTGCTCTAAAGAATTCTGAATAAGAAATTTTGATATCATCGAAGATCAATAGGTTGAATAGGTTAATGATTTAACCTTAAGTGGAACTTAGAATTAAAAGATGAAATAAGAAACTAAAATACATATCATTACCCGTATGTTTCTATTTGGAGAAGGAGTTTTAAGAAATTCACTATGAATTAATGACTCTTTTGAATTTTGATTATTCAATTTTGATATTCCCTTTCCATTATAATCTAATTTTCGTTTGTCATAGTTAACTATGAATAAGTCTTTGGATTTCGATTTGATAAATAGTAAACTCAACTAAGACTCTACAATCAGTGCTTAGTAAAAGTACAAGTACCTAAAAGAATGATAACTTCGAAATAAGGGTTTCGACTTCGAAACTTAGTAGTTCAGCCTTGATATTAGAAATCTATTTGATTTTTTTTTGTATTAAAATTAGGCATTGAGTTCCAATATCAAGAGGGTGAGTTCTAAAACCATTCATATGATTTTAGAACTAACATATCTATTTTGATATGGACTAATCCTGTCACACCCCAATTTATGGCCTAAAATTTTCTTAAAATTAATTTCTAGAACTAAATTGAAATTTTAATTAAATTCTGAAACCAAAGTAAAATTTTGATTAAATTCGGATCCAAATTAAAAAAGTAACTAAACTTGAAGGACCTCTTATTGCAATAATACCATTTTCCTTTTTAAGGGATTATATAAACCCAAATATGGAAAGTTTCCTCATTTGGAAACCTTTTTTTCTCTATCTTCAATCTTTCCTCTTTTAGAAAGAAAATTTAAATCGATGTTTGGTCGCTGACCGTTGCTATGTTTTTGACACTTATCGCACTATCGTGTTCCTTGTGTTGTTCCAACTACCTTGTACGTTGCGAACTCGAGCTCTCCGTCGTTCACTGTTGTGAACCAAGCTTCATAATTGTCTTAAAACCCTTAAATCGAGCATGGGAAATTTTTCAAAAAATGTTAGACCCCCAAAGGCCCTGCATGCACCCCCACGCGTCGCCCCTGCTCGTGGGGAAGGTCCACCACCTGGTGGGCTTTTAAAAGCTGAATCGACCCAACCTGACCTACCTTCCCGATCCGACTCGACCCGCTGACCCATTCGACCCAAAAAAACTAAAATGACCCATTCGAACCAAACCAAATCGGTCCAGTCCAAACTGAACTAGGTCAACCGTTTACCATTGATTGTTGATCGCCGACCACCGCAGACTTTATCCAAAAACCTCAATGTTGACATTTTTCGACGTCTTGAGTTCGATGTGAGTTCGAGGATTCTGACATCTATTAGAACATACATAGTAACAACATTACTGTTAGTAAGGAGTGTCATCAATTACACTCTAATGACACCATATCAGTATCCTTGACAATCTAAGTGGCATGTAAACCCTTTTTCTTATTTCAAATAAAATTAGTTTCGACCAAGAATTTGCTAAACCTATAGCTCTAATACCAATAAATGTAACACCCATCTCCCATATACCCATTTGTACACGAGATACGTATGTAACATCACTTTAAAATTATTTTGGCATTTGAAAAACCGTAGAATTTTTGTTTCAATTTCTTAACAACTTAAAAGTATGATATTCATATAAATAAAATACTAAAACTATCAATTAAATACATTACAAAATAATTAATTTAGTTCAATTACATGACAACTAAGTTTTTAAAAACAATAAAATTGTCCTAACGTTACTGACGGGTCAACCTTTAATTGATGAAAGCTGTTGTTACTGCTGCACTCCTTACGCAACTAATCTTTGCGTTTACCTACGTGTAAAATCAA